AACACAGTTTTTGTACATTTATTTATGTTACTGCTGATTTTTCATACCAAAAATCATCACTATTTTTTATAAAGATATAAAGAAAGTGTCAGAAACGATCTGTCGGCACTCCTTGTAACTCCAAAGATATATTTTGAGTATTTAAATCACTCAAAGGCTCTTAGCTGGATGGCCGCTAGAGACTTTTTTGGCTACATTTTGATTCGGCCGGGCCTCTGGAAACTCACCGTTTTTGTAAATTTATTTATGTTACTGCTGATTTTTCATACAAAAATCATCACTATTTTTTATAAAGATATAAATGAAGTGTGGGAAACGATCTTGTTGTAACTCCAAAGATATATTTAGAAAATTCCAGGTTTTTTCAATTCAATTTTCAATTCAATTTTATTTATATAGCGCCACATCACAACAACAGTTGTCTCACAGCGCTTTCCAAACAGAGCAGGTCAGACCCTACTCTGAAGTTAATTACAGAAACCCAACAATTCCCACCATGAGCAAGCACTAGGCGACACAGGCAAGGAAAAACTTCCTTTTAACAGGCAGAAACCTCGAGCAGAACCATGGCTCAGGGTGGGCGGCCATCTGCCTCGTTTTCTTTCCTTTTTTGATTGTGTGTGGCATCAAAATAATTTTAATCTGCATTTACTTCAGTGATCACACCCTTGTATTTAAATCACTCAAAGGCTCTCAGCCGGACGCCCGCTAGAGACCTTTTTTGGCTACGTTTTGATTCGCCCGGGCCTCCGGAAACACAGTTTTTGTAAATTTATTTATGTTACTGCTGATTTTTCATACAAAAATCATCACTATTTTTTTATAAAGATATAAAGAAAGTGTGAGAAACAATCTGTCGCCATTATTTGTAACTCCGAAGATGTATTTTGAATATTCCAGGTGTTTTCTTTCCTTTCTTGATTGTGTGTGGCATCAAAGTAATTCTAATCTGCATTTACTTCAGTGATCACACCCTTGAACAACTTTCCCGATTTAAATTTTTTATTTGGGAAGTATTCAAATCACTCAAAGGTCTATAAATCCGAATTAG